TGTACACTTGCTGCACAGCAATTATTACTCAATATTTCAAATTTCCTTACTGTTACATTATTTAGGAATTATTTTGTGATCTAAAATAATCTGTCATGTGTGCAAAGACCTGTGCATGCAATATAATTTTTATCTCAAGTGCATGAATCCCTGCTTTTAACTTGTTACTTCATTTGAAGTTAATTTTTTTTCTATGATATTTTTATATATTTCTATTTACAATGTATTCTGGATGTGTTTTCAAAACCCTTTTTTCGTAAAGCATGGTGCTCTAATGGTGCTCTAATTTCAAACATTTGATTCTCGGTCTTTGACAAACTTAAAATGGGTACAAAGCGAAAATGCTTAATTAAAAGGATGTTCTGTGTTTGAATGTCTGATATTTTCAAGTTGTATTTAATTCACTTCCAATTGAAATTTCTACTTTAATTTTAAGTTCCTTAAACATACCTTAGCAAGTTTAACATAATTAAAGAAACACAAATCTAAAGATGTCAGTCCTTTATCAAATTTTAAATCATCTAAGTTAAACATAAATTCTTAATACTGAAACCAAGGTTGCAATATCCGAGTAATATTCAACATCAAGAACTTTTTTCATTTAATACAAGGCTGTTATATAAGGCTGTTATATGTACATGTACTGTACATGTATGTGGCCAGTTTTCATAATGAATAGTTTTTCTGAACCTTGTCTCATTTCAAATCAAGGGACCTGAACCTACAATACCAAAGATGCATCCTACATCAATATGTGTCTCATGTCTCATTCACTAAAAGTTTACACTTTTGGTCTGCATAATTGCCCCATAAACAGAACTGCTTGAGATTTATTGTCATAAATGAATATTAAGAAAGGATGGTCTGCTTTGAACTCAAGAGGCTTCATCATTGATAGAGCACAGCCGGGTGCCATTACCACAGCAGTAGCTGCAGCCGCCTCACTGCCTTCCTCATTCACATCCAAGAAGGCCTTGTGGATAACTTGAGAGATGAAGAGATCTTTATCTCCTGTCATCCCTGAGAAGTCAGCCTTGCCAGCACGAAATGGATCAACCATACCCATTTCTCTCAAGACATCATTAAGAACAAAGTTCTGCTCCAAAGAGAATTTTGGAAGTGACACAATAACAGTAGGACTATCACGCATGCGGCGAGCTTCTGTGACCCATTCCTCAATTTTCTCCTGAGACAATTTCTTCTGAACATCAGCAAGTCCATTCACCTGGTCGGGAAGCACAATAAACATACTTACTTCCTTCTTGATGTAAGGAAGTTCCAGGATAGAACTCCTTACGGAATCATCACGGGCATAGTTGAACTTTCCATCCTTGTGCATCATGGGAACACTGATATCCTCATTTGCCGAAATGTGAAACTTTTCAGGAGATGTGTCAGACACTTCAAACTTGGAAACCCAATCTCCTTTGAAATAGATAGCATTGACAAGCACAAGGCGAGTCAGGGCATCAATAGATCCTGCAGCCAGTAAGTCTTTTATTCGATTTTCAGTTTGTTTCTCCACCCAGGAGTTGATGAGCTGACGAGAACCTTCGGCATCACCAATGAAATCAAGTGTCTCAATGTTTGCTCCATAGTGCTTCTTGCTGCCCTCAGCAAACGCTGGCACTATAGCCAAACCTTTATGACCAAACAGTCTGTTTGCAGCCCTTAGGGTGTAGGGAGCATTAGCACGATAAATAAGAGCACTCAAGTCAGCAAATGACTGATGAAGAAGGGATTCTTCTAGCAAGTGGAAGTGCAGTGTTTGCTTCATCTGGCTTGCCGTCTCACCCTGTGCCCCCAAGAAGGTCATAGCAAGTGCAGTAGAGATGCTCATTGGAGAAAAGAAGATGTTCTGGGAACTTCCTTTTCCAGCTAACATACGGAACAAACCTGATGCAAAGGCATTACTTGCTTTGGCAGCATTTTCAGCCATACTGACATCTAAGACCTAGGTTGCCATAGTATCAAAGTAGGTTGCTGGAAACAAGAATTGAAAATTAGAGACATCTATTATATGGGTATCTATGGACACTGAAGGATGGATGTAGACAGATTGCCCTGAATAAATATAGCCTGTGAATTTCATTATTTTGTAATTTATTACTCAGATAAAGAGAGCATCCATTCAGATTGGAAACATCTTTCCAAATTCAAGAATGGAAATTCATTGAACTGGTTACAGAACACTAAGCAAAAGTAAATCTAAGAAATAGTCTGACAAAACCTTCTTCTTGTTAGTTTTTATTGAGTTTTTCTTTTTTTATATGACGACATACGTTTAGTTGACCACATGGATTCTGACACTGCTAATAAATGATTTACCCACAATGCATACAAACTGTGCCCACTGATACATGTACACATGTACAATAACATTTTAGTAAATGTGATAACATCTGTAAGAACACGGCACAAACGAAAGTTTTTATGTCACACTGTCCAAGGAAGCCAACACTGCAACACGTTTTATCCCCTAATGACAGCTGTTCCAAACCCGTCAGTTACAACCATGTCATAAGCATTCAATGACATGAAAAGAAAATACAACTGATATTGACAAATTTTGAACATAAATTCCTTCAAATAGTTACATAATTCAGATAGTTACATGTAGATGTATATGACATGAATGACAAAAAGTCCATTCTACGTTTACATGATTAAGGGCTACATGTAGGATGAATTCCTCCATTACAGCCAGAATATTCAAAATGATACAAGAAAAAAGTGGGAACATAATGCATGTTTTACATTATAATAAGCCACGGCACCGATTCCCATTATAAAAATGGAAATATACAGACCAAGATTTGTGAATTTCAAGAGTTGCTGCATGACATTTGTTTCCCCAACAACTCAGTAACGATTTCACTTCCATTAATCCCAACTAAAGTCATGTGGAAAGAAAGCCCCATCTCATTTATACAGTACCGTAAAATACGGTACTGTCACACACATAATTGTACATATCTTTAGGGCACACACACTGCATTTTAATATCTAAACCCAGACAGTTTGCATTTAGCTGCAGGATAGTTTCATTTCCTTTTCCTGATCCTTGGCTCTAGAGGATATTTAGAGGAAATGTAAAGTTCAAAACTGCATCAGGTCAGAATTTCATCCATGATGAACACAACTTTAACAACAAAAAATGAGCAATGCTACCAGAGAACCCAATATTATTTACTGCACTGAAATTTCAAGTCTGAAAAACATAAACACTGCACATCATGCTCACTTTGAAACAACACGTACCTCTTACATGTATTAAACGACAGAGAACAGCAAGCACATGATGGTGACTTCCAATATCCACTGCCTAGTATTTGCAATCTATAGCAGAAGTGGCTGCAGTGGCGTAGCCAGGGGGGGTCTTGGGGGAACTTGCCCCGCATATGGCGCGCTACAAATTCCAGGTGACCCCTGAAAAAAAAAAGATGAATGAATATTGAACAAGGCTAACAAAAACTTGCCCCAAAAAAACCACACCCCTGAAAGCTGGTGCCCCAACAAGATGCTGGTGCCCCCTTTGTGCCCCCCCCCGTAAAATCCTATGCCACTGCTGGCGGTACCAAGTGCCTGTACATGTATCTAAAGGAAATAGGTTGTGTCAGGATGCCGTACTGCAAACTGCATACCGGAAAAAGGGTCAATAATTTAGTATAATGGTGGAGGATGCCCTGGGAAAGTAGGCTATGTAGCCTGCCAAAGACCGTGAGTGGTCTACATCAGTACAGAATCGCCTACTCCCATTGTACCGAGGCCTAGTCTTCAACCTTCAAGTTGTAAACTGATCAACCGGGGGAAAGAAAGCGAACGACAAAACCCGAAGAAATTTACCAATGTGATGATCTTCTAGTTCTTCGAAATATAGCAACGGCACTCAGACCTGGAACTTGAAAGCAAACCCAGCTGTTGATCTGATATTAATGATGGCTAGTGGGCACGTATACCAAATACGGTACTGTATGCTTGGCACTTAACAGTCCAGCAGCACATAGTGCACGTGTCGCAAGATCCGCAGAACCACCGCCTCACTGTAAATAAAACGGAGCTCCACTATACGGTGACTCAGACTACGAAAACAGAGGGCGTTCTAATACAAGTTGACAACACTTTTTTTCTCGTTGAAAACCGATTCAAGGGCGACGGTTTTTCATCCCCCACCCCCGTGGCAAAGCAAAGCGATTGCTGGATACAGGAAACGGAAGATAAAATTTATGCTAATTGTTGTTTTAAAAAATCACGAAAATCTTACGAGGTCGCAGTGAAGTTTAATTCTGGTGTGACACAAGCCACGTGTATCCGTGATTGAATCAGCATCCAAAGTACACTATCCTTACCTAGTTGTTGGGATTTTATTTGGCTACACAAAATAAGCACAGGCAATTCTCACCATGACCAATTTTTATTCCACCCACGCTTTTTGGCTTGTTCCTAAAACTTTTTGTGTCTGTACTGCCCAGGCTACTCCACCACAGATCGGCTATGACCAACTACTCAGTGTTTTGCTAGGGTTACCAATAAGGTAGTGTTTACTGATATTGATAGGTGATGGGAGTCAACATTACTGTAGACAAGGCATGAAGTGCCTTTACATGTCGGACGACTATTCCATGTACCATCAAATGAGCACCGCACATCATTGCCCACATTATTACTACGGCTACTTCATGTTCATTTGTTCGACTTGACTTGCCTAATACATAGCCTGCTGTAGTGACTCCAAAGAATAACTGATCACTGGCAGAACAAAGGTTTACGACTACAAGTCTGGAGAAAAATTTACGAGAAACACATCAAAGCCGTCTTCGACTTGGTGACCCTGTTTAGGCCTACACCTATGCATTATGGGGTCAAAACTGCATAACGAAAACGGGGACAGAAAAAGAACGAAAAACAAGAGACAGAAGGGAATAAAAATTTGCTTGGGAAAAACTCTACAAATTGATCCCTTTCCACCGTTAATGGTTCATCAGGCACTCATTAGGTTCATCAGATGAGTGCTTTGCCTCCCGAAATTCTCCCTGGAAAAAGTACTCCCCCGTGGAAAAAAATCTAGCGATGCCCTTGAATCTACAGCTTTTATTCCAACCATGTATCAATGTTTAAACCAGTAACGATGAAGTATTCGTTCCACTCAGGCCACACATCAACCTTACTTAGATTTCAAAATGCATGCAGTGTTCACCTCGCGTCTTTGCATGATTTCACCGACTGTAAACCTACCATGGAGAGTCTGAAATGAGTAACTGAGGTGATCCAGTTTTCAACTTGCATGGCAGTATAATTCATTTTGATTGTGCCACAACGCGCTCTACTAATACTTGCCCACCCGCCTCTATGTCAGGCTACTACAGCCCTGATACCTTCTCATACCTGCTGCCTTAATTGCACCCCAGTGCTCAATTCATCATGACTAGCGACACAGTACTTAGTTGATTTAGACTCATTAGTCGACTTAGACTCGTTCCTTTCACTGGAATATCTTCGAAGTCACGATTCTTGGTCTGTGACCTGGTTTTGCAAAAACAGTCTCTGACATTGTTCTGCCCATAAACATTGCCATTAGTTTACCTATTTGTTGAATTACGAGAAGCCGCACACGCCGCGGATCCCAATATCTCCTCCATCCATCTCTCATCCTCTCTGTCCCTGCAAAACCAGTGCAAATTTAATTGCATTTATTTGTAATTTGCAGTTTCCGATATCTATCGGGATACGTATCAATAATTTTTTTCATTGAGTTCAATCTATGTATTGGATTATAAGAGCATATTGACAAAAGCGTGAATATTTTTCACGTATTCATTCCGACACTTCAAAGCGTAGAGCTAAATTCATTTCATCACGAAACAGTCTTCGAGTTTGGTAATTGACTTTGGGTCTTCGTTCAAAGACTACCATATGGTATATACAAAAACAACTCCTGAAACAGTCATCGGATTTTGGAGAAATGCTCGTAAAGCTAAATACTGCGAGAACGCATTTACCAACCCATTTAGTACAATGTACAACTGGGAGAAACAAGTATATGGGTCTACATCTGTGGTCAAAAATTGTTGGACTATGAACACACTTTGTAAAGAACTTGATGACGGCCACTTTGCTGACTACATAGCAAGTCTGACGCTGTAGGGAGTGAGGTAGGCTGCTTTTTTTACCAGATAAATTAATCTAAAACGCTTGGAGTTAGTTTGAAAATAACGTTAGTTTAAAAAATCTAAAAATGTAAACCGTCATTCGAATAATCTTCCCCTGTAACCTACATTTTTTTCAAGAAGAGTCATTGCTGAAACGCATTTAACGCGCGTGGCATTAACTTTAACGATGTAGTTGTACAAATTAGAGAACAGCTTTAGTGGAAAAAGACTGTCTACACAAAGTGTATAACCTTTTCCCCGCTGTGTGTGTAAACCACTGGGATCGCTAAAATCCATCGTATTCTAATTAGAAGAGTCGATTGAATTTATCAAACACTGCTGCAAATTCTTAAGCACTGAACGAGGAAGCTTGATTTACGTTAGACTGGAATCCGTCGGCACTAGAACAAAAAAGAAGTCTGTTTCTATTATCCCTAATAGTGATCATTATTTTAATCTTTACTTATTTTAATGTCTTATTATTTTCTGAAAGATTTATCGTCCAATTCAAGAAAAGAAATTAAGGGCCGAGGCTCCGAGTTGTTTCTGTTGTAACTTGGAATGAATTCGAAGTTTTCTTTTTCAAATTTATATCACCAGAGGCAGCCCGTCAAGTTTTCATTTCTTGTACACTGGTTCTGTCAATTGTTCGAAAGCTTATCGGTAAGGCATTTCAGTCGTGATACTGCGTTCCATCACAGTACAACCCATTTATTCATGTTTCCAGGTGTTTATAAGAAGACAGTGTACTCTTTCACTTGCCCAGTAAGTGATGAATCGTTCAGTTAACGCACATTGGCGTATATTCCTATGCATGTACTCGAAGGAGGAAGGCGGCGCCCACGCTACCATTAGATTGCGACAAGAAAACGGGGAATAAGGGGCGCAGTTTCCGATAAATGCGTTAACTTACGAAAACTTGGAGTACCTATCAACAAGCCTCAATATACGCATGGCATGTTGACTCATTAGCGGCACTTAAAAGCTCTGCGCTCAAACGGTTCTCGTGTATATCGAATTGTCTTGCGAATTTATTGGCCTATTACACCCTGACGCCACTGGGACTTACAACTCTGTCTCTCAAGGAGGTTTCAAAACCATTCCCGTTATTCGATACGGAACGTAACCCGGATGTACTTATTCTGTGATACAATCAGAGATCCCATCAGCCAGGCATCAATTACCCTAATGACCCATATCAATCTTTTCACCAAAAGTTGCACTTTTTCAGTCAGAATCCTCACACTACCCGAGCCATTCCGGTACAACAGCTCGGATATACCTGTTCATTTCAGTCAACTGATTATCCAGGAAAATGGTGCCGTAATGTGTAAATGATAAATTCTACATTCTAAATTCAATGAAATTAGCTATCGTCATGCCATGCCTACGCGGAATCAGGAGTTATCTCTAAGTGAAAACATATGCAGTGTGTCTTTAGTACATAATTGCAAAAGTCCAAAGCCTCTCAACATATACAGACTCCAGCAACTTTTTACTGGGCATTCCTATGTCCCCTTAAATCCGAAGTAATAATTAAGACGACATTGAAGAAATGTTCAATTTTTAGAGGTGGGAGGAAACCCTGGGTATGTATTCCAGGGATAACCCACGGAATCAGGCAGGGACTGAAAACCCAATCCACTTACTGATCTAGTTGGGTTTCTAGCCCCGGTCACAGAGGTGGGAGGCGAGGAAAGAGTCACTAGACTGACCTGACTCCACATCTGAACTACGTTACCCATTAGGCCACAGGCCTTGATAAAATTCAAAACGATACCCCGATTTTAAAGCGACGGCTTACGTCCCCACCGGTCTTACAGACCAATATAATTTAGTAAATGCTACAGAAGGAGCAGTTGCAGCGATTTGCATGTAGTCCACAATAATCATTGCAAATGAATTTTGCGCGGGCGTTTCATCTAACGTTAACGATTGACCTTGGGTGATGAGTTTAAGGTTACTCTCAAGAACGTCCTGTAAAGCGGATGAGAATCGATTTCTTTTACCCTAGGAAGACGTAAATCAATTGTTACAGTAAGCAGCCAGGGAACGTCTGCCAAATATTTATATTTCGTCTAATCATTTTCATTAAATAACAAGATATCTGAAATTACCTTGGACTACACGTTACAATTACAAAACGTAAAGCGATGTACAAGCCTATCTCTTTGCCGCGACGACGGTGAGCTATAAACGTGCACCTACTGTAGCTTTTCTATTAGCTTTATAAGATAAGCAACAGATTAAAATAAAAAGAAACTGAACAAAATTATTCCGCAAAGACTAATGTCGTCAAAATGTAATTATTCTAAATCTGATTAAAAGAGTTCAAAACGAACGTCCAGTGATCTCAAAGATGTGAATCATGGACCCGACAAAACCGACGTGTTTGATGCAGTCTGTCCGTTGTTGTGAGAGACTTTTTGAAGAGCGCAGGAGTGCCAGTTAAAACGACCGGCCTTCGTCAAACATATGGCGTCACTGTCCTCCATTTTTGTCATATTGTCCTCCTTGATGCTTTCATTTTCAATATTCTCCGATATAGGCTTGCATCATTTCCAAACTCTTTCCGAATCTTCAGTTGATTGAAGCAAAGGGTACATCGTCTTTAACAGCAGACAGGATACTCGCTCTCCAGAAATGTAAGCTCTCGGGCTTTATTATTTCTCCTTGACACTGCCGTGTTGAATGATCGATAGCAAGACACTTTCTACCTCCGTTCAATTTATCATAACGAAATGTTGACGGTTGATTCAACGTAAATTGGATTGCTGTTTGTATTTTCTCAGTGCAATCGCATAAAGCTATGAAAAATCGCGAAATGTCAGTGAGTTTTGTTCAAATTGATGTATTCATACATCAACATGGATACAGCTTTCCTGCATGCTTTCAGATCTGCAATTTGAACTCCTTATACTTACCATCTACATGCGACGCAATATATCCCCATATTCTTGGCAAAGGACTTTTTAGAACAATATGTTTTTATTTGACAGAATTGACACGCAGTCACTTATTGACATCGTACACTCGGGAAAGGACGAGTCATATACATGCTCAAACACGCACTAAAGTTCAGTTCAACCCTATGTCAACGAAAGGGAGACACGTAATTGAAAATTTAATTTCAGCGTAGGCTGAGTTACTTTCTCTGTCTCGACCACGCTCAAGTGGCCTATTTTACAACACGCAAAAATCAACTCCCCTCCCCAAGAGTACAAGGCCACGACAGGAGTAACAAATGGAGCCATTATACCAAATTTCTTTCAAGAATTAAATAAAGACAAGGAAAAATGAAAAGTTGACGTTTGAAATAAATATCCGGATGACGGTCAAAGTCCCCTCGTCCTTGGGTTCAGTGAATGCTTTTCCTTACGATGATTAATTGAAACAAGTTGTATGTGATAATTCTTCAACCAGTTGCCATGTCACACAGTGTCAAGTTTAATACGTCACAATCCACAGTCTGCCAGAATTATTAATTTGATAACATTCCACTTGACATTCTTGTTGTTGACTTTATATTAGCTTTAATTAAACAAAACTTTCAGATGGATTCATAAACTGCTTGTATCCTATAATAGTGAAAAGCCAAGCACCCACCACTCTGCCATTATGATAGACATTAAACTAGTCTGGAGGAATTTTCTCAAGTTACAACTGTAAGTATTCAGAAGTTAAACACAATGACCACAAAAAATTCCACTAAATGACTAAATGAATATAGGAAGAGGAAACGATTGCTAAATTGTTCATCTAGGTGTTCACATTAAATTGTAGGCAAGCAAATATCTGTCTCAGATGATCCACGACTGTTTAGTTCGAGCAAATTTTGTCTTGTCTTCGGGGTGCTCCTTCAATTATCCTTCTCGTTTGCTAATACCAGTAACTGGTTAATATACCTGAAAGGTGCTTGACATGTTTACTTTCCACTTTCCAATACAATTTTCGAACGATACCTGACTCAAACGACAACGCGATATCGATTTCTAAGTATGGCATTTATAATTATAATCTTTAATGCAGACGAACGGACTTGGCTGATGGGTCTGGACTGTATTAGTGTGTAAGATAGAGCCATGTGTTTCTTCTTTTTTTTAAAATATTTTTCCGAGTATGATTTTTGAATTATTTTTTTCCACTGGAAATATTGACTTTTATCATAAAAGACAAACATGTCGTGTTTCCCTGTTTATTTATAAGCAATTATATGCCAAACAAACCTCCATGGTACACAATACAGCGGGGGGGGGGTCGCGGACGCCAAATTGATTGAATCTCTATAATGCTCCTTTTCATCGAACACGATCCCAATCCTGCACAATGCACACTGCGAAACCATCTGCCTTAATGAATCATTCACACCTGACGTACCTATATCTAATAGACCAGTTCACTAATTAATTCTAATTACGTGCGCATGTGCATAAATGGCATGTGGAGGAAAAAAATCTTGAACGGCCCATATTCCAATGTCATTTTCTCTCAGCTTCTGCACCTTTTTCACTTTCGTCTTCGGAAAAAAACTTTGAAATCATTATAGCTATTACTTTCTGGTCTAAAAGGATTTCATACTGCAGTAAATTTATATAAAAAACAGTTTTTGCATGCTTTCTCCCTGAGCGTATAATTGGTCAAAAGAAATTAACAGGGCTCCTTTCCGACCACATGCGATAAAATACCTTTGTACTTCAGGGTACCATGAACCACTCGTACAACGCCAATTCGCGGGCTGAACGGAGGGTGAATTGTGGGTTAGTTTCAGATTGGGTTAGGTTTGGTTTGTCACGCTGTCGACCGAGAATGGTGGACGGTACCTTAAGGTATCGCACGATTGTTCATAGCTCACCTAGAACTGAACCCAACTGGTTTCTTTCGCCTTCGTGCGCTTCAAAGGAATGAACGAAATTTTGCAAGTTTTTATTTTGCGAAAGTGCAGAGGCTGAGAGAACATGACGTTGGTTGTGCCCTGTGACATTGTCAATGGCCGCTCAAGCTTTTTGCCTCCACCTGCTATTTATGCGCATGCGCATTAGAATTTATTAGTGAACTGTCTGTTGAAGCCCATCAGTAATTGCAGCTGTTTACACGATTGGTTTTTCCGCAAAATATAAGGGTGCAGTCAGGCATCTGTTGTATGTGACTTGGGGAAACGAGGAAAAGATGGGTGATATTTCACTGAACATGTGAAATACGTCGGTCAAGTCAAAGAGACAGGAGTTGCTGTTATGCTCGTTAGAAGAAAACACGAAGTTCAATTTTTATACTGAAAAGATGTTGAAAAGATCTTCCTAGACTCACAGTCTTGTCATCCCTAATGATATTTGAGTAATATCCTTGTCGTTTCAAGGTAAAACAAGCTTTATCTTTTCAACATGACATTAAGGCTCATAATGTATCGTTATTATCCGAGGTGACTTCCATCGTGCTTCGGTGCTTGCATCATCAGAAATTGTCCCGTAGACCTAAATATTAAAAAACGATTTCTGGACAAAGTGAGGGTTACTACAAAGGGTGAAGTGTGTAAATCATATGTTAGCATGACCCAATTCATAACATGTTACTTGGCTTGGCAAACCAGCGCCTGTTTAGTAGAAACGACCGCAAACGCGTCACATTTTGCGATTGTGATGTCTTTGACCGACTAGCTGTCGCTCATTACGATGTTCCGAACAAATGCGAGGTGGAACGATTGCCGTCTTTTTGACAAAACAGCCAAGTTGTTCCACTGCCCTCCTATTACAGATAACTCATCCTTAATTGATGTATTTAAGCATTTTGCAGACAGAGCCTCGTGTTCCCTGGCCTGTGATATTCCGTCACCAATATGCCTTGGAGTATTGAAATGATGGACTACTTTGCTACCTCATGAAATCATAACACGCTTTGCAGCCTGTCCTTGCTACACAGAATTACGATAAATAAGGGCTCGTGTGTGTGTAATGTCGCCGAGGATATGAATACATACCCTCGTTAATTATGAACGGAATGACATAACTCAATGAGCGTTTAGCTAAACAAGACGAAGTGGCTAAGCATTGAAAAAGGTTACGTGGACGAAAGACAAGACACCTTGCTTTGGGGAAAAAGTATTTGGCTCTGGTTTATCGCAAACGGAAAACTGAAAATGGAAAAACAGAAATATGGAAGGTTTACATCACGTCTAAATATTCCCTATTAGCGTTTTCCAATCAATTACATAGATGACTTTTGACGTTGGAGAAAAACTTCAAAATACTTTTAAAATGTTTAACAGTATTTCGCTGTGACAAAATTTTCATCTAATTGACACCACTAATGCCTCTGTCACAAGATAATTTTCAGCGACTTGAAAAAGGGTTCCAACCATACTAATTTACTTTTGTATGGCAGTCACCAAAATACTTTACTTTGCAAAAGGTGTTGGAGAGTTGATTGAGGGGTGTAATAAAAAGTCGTTAATTTTCATTATCATTTACCAATTATGCTTGAGATTTTTTACCTTCAGAACGCGCAGTTGTGATGTCAAAGGTCTTCGTCGAGAGCAAGTGGTGAAGACCATGCTGACACTTTCTTCACTTTCCTTGATTTTGTATCGTCGTGTACTACATGCTCTGGCATAATCAAACAATGACCTCTTAGGTTTCATACCTTTCGTTATCACAAATGTTGACACATTTAACATCCACACGTAGCAAAATGCTACAATAATTGAAGGATTTGATTTGAAACAATATCTGCGTAGCAATAAGATAAGTGTTATGGTTTTAAAAGGAAATAGCGGGGACCTTGCACGTGTCTGAACAATCGTTTGACTTTTTAAAATGTGTACACAACATCCAGCAAAGTAAAAACAAACACGACAGCTTCGACAAGATCAAATTTTTCGTTAAATTCAATGCAGTCGCACTGACAGCTTTGCTTTCAAAATTGACTGTGTAAGTTAAATGTCTAAGATATTTTGATGCGATTCAAACAGGGAAGGAGAATGCGCCAACGGGCTGCACTTTGAGCTCTTGATGAAATACATAGTCACGAATGTGAAAACTATTTGTATCTAGTGTTGGAGTGCAAAGAGCAAAGTAAATACTGACAGAGTTGTATGCTTACCTTCAGCAAAGACAATCTGGCAAGATGGAAGGACTTCAGCTTCGAGTTCTGAGCACTGGAATTCTTCTTATGGTCATCGGTGGACAGAATATTGGTGAGTTGTTTGACTGCTGATAAAATGGTCTTTGTTTCATCTTGCCGTAAAATACACGGCATTACTTCGGAGTTAGTTTATGATATCTGTAAACTTTGTTTTCTCGTGTTTTATGTCCGATTGGGAGATTTATATTCCCCTTCCCTTTCTTCCCTTATTTCCTGCTTGTTCTTGGTTTCTTGAGACTAGTTTAATAAAGTTCTGAGCATTTTATTTTGAAATATTACGTCTGGCACAATCTTTTCTATATGTGACTGATACGTTTTCTGTTTTTAACGATAAGTGTTTGCTTCTTTGTTATCTTTTCCCTGCTGTCAATCCCTGGTCCATTTTCATTAACCCCGTGTTCTAGGAATCGCATCGGTCGGTCACTACCTACATTGTGGTTCTCATTTTGGTTAAAGATAGTCCAGTTGTGATAACTAACACAAACTTGGAACGAATTCGTTTCTATTTCAGATCCTCCAATGCAAATCAATCTCACAATGAACTTGCCTGCGGAAATAACATCTCGTAATTACCCAGCTAAGTATCCAACCAATTTCATCGACACCTGGCTCGTAGTCTCTCCTCCAGACACTCTTATCAGTGTCAAAGTCTTAGATTTCCAGACTGAAATACATCAATTGGCGGAAGATATTTTGCTCATTGGGAATGGTCTGAATTACACATCTGAGGAGGATTACCTTCTTCCTCGATCAGCTGCTGAAGGTACAGCTGGAATGGTCCTCAAAATGATCTCCTCGGGATCAGGAATCTGGCTTCAATTCCGGAGTGATTTGTCATCTGCCAATGAGAGGGGATTTCAGCTTCAACTAAACACTATTAATAAGACAGGTAATATTGTGTTACCAAGTGAAAAGAAATCTTATCGTGCTTGACGCGTTTATGTATGTCAAATTGAAAACTTTGCTTGAAACACTCTATAGGCCTATGTGGCATAGTTTACATTACGTGCTACTTACGTATTACAAAACAAGACCTATAGGCTACTTGGGAAAATATGTCATTGTGGGATTTGCCCTGTAATCTAGGAAAAAGCATGTCTTTGTCTACAATGAACATTTAGGAACTAATTAATGCTGACATTCCTCTCACAGTGGCACTTGGCTGCGAACACTTTTTTTCTCAACACTAATCAAAATTTGATCTCAAATGGCACGTACGCATGCACCTCAGCATATCATTATCACACTATTTGCATTTTAAAAATCACTTCATTCCTCAGCCAGATCAGCCTGACTTTACTAGATTCCTTGGCTGACGATAAATTCAACATCACCAAAACGGGGTAGTTGTTTGTTATAATTAATTCTAATTGTAATTTATTAATCATAATTGATGAGTAGATAACTTCTTGATTAACGGACGCTATTGTTAATTCATCAGCCATTAACAGTTCTGAATTATCAAATCTCAATATCACTTTCTCATGTGCCCTATAGGCTAAGGTTAATCATGGCACTGTCAAAGTAAAAATCACAATGAATAGCCTATCGAGAAATTCTGAGCTTTGAAGCTCGAGACAGCATCATTTTAAGAGGGTTGGATAAAAAAGTTTAGCGACTTGGTATGTGCAAAACCGTTTGCCAAATAGTTAAGGGAGTCCAAGGGAATATGGATATCAGTTTACAAAGCAGTATTTATATCTTTTACGGTGTTATGTAATACTTAATCATGGGCAGCCCCCCCCCCACTCGTACGGGCTAACCATACATCCAACAACATGAAATAATTAAGCCTCATAATTCAATTCATTGAATTTGACTGCATGTCTCGTAAAGGCCATTTATAATATAAAAATATTGAATTTAAGTAAGTGTGTCGTCATGCTTGTAAAACTTGCGGGTTATAGTTTAATGCAACTGTGGCTGCGTTCAAGGGTGGATTTTGGCAAATAATTCACCACTGTTTTTGACACTACAAAATAACCTGAGGAAAGATCTTTACCCTTTTCGATATCTCTCTATTTAATTTAAGGATATTTCTCTATTTTCTGGTGGCAGTATGTATTCAAGCAGAAAATTCTTTTTCCCTCCTTGAAGGACGAAGACAGGAAACTCAGCAACACTTGTCACCCCGCCTCTAGAAGTGAAAACACGTTAAAGCCTGAGCGTGTCTTTAAGCATTTCTATGTACAACAAAGGTCGTTAGGTGCAGGTTACCTTGTATTAAAAGGACTACATTAAGTTCAAAATGCTAAAGAAATTTCCCTCAAAAATAACTGACCTCGGACAAAATCAATTTGAGTCATATTTTTTCACTCAAATTATATCCCGCCGCGTAATGATAATACAATTTCCCTTTCGGTTCGAATCATTTCAAACAGAATGTTTCCAATACAACGCGCCGCTCTTAAATGGACATCTTCTAATTAATCCAGTCGTCCTCCATAACTTTTGTCCACTTCAAATCGCAATTCATTCAGTTCTGGATAATGAGAAACTGATAGGCGTGATGCTTTTTTTTTCAAGAGGAAAACGAACTGTCAAAAGGAGTCACTTCTATTCAGAGTGCAAATACATATAAGGGGAGATTTAAGGCCGCTCTGGAATTGTTCCTCGTCCAAGACAATTATTAACTAAAGTGAAGTTGTGTAGTATGTAATGTCCTATATAGTACATTACATCTGTGACTTTGGATATAACCCAGATCGTTCACTTATCCGTTTATGTTATTGCTACGGATTTGCTGAAAAAAAAGGCCAGAAATTCCAATCACAGTCTCAAGTTACAAGCAGACTATTAAGGAAATTGAAATTTTTATTAACGTTTGATGATTATGCAGTTGGTATTATTTAAGTGACAAAGGATTCAATTTAATACATACGAAGGTATCTCGATAACATTTACTAGTTTGTTTTCCTTCACATAATGTAAAGTCTGCATGGCGTCATTGTTGCTTTTATGCAGTATTTCTACTGTTTGCTTAAATTGTAACATCCCTACATTAATACCAATCTTATCTACAGTCTGCAATATTGGTTTTGTTTCCTTAGAATCTTGTTCACAAGAGGAGTATGTTTGTAACGAGAGAATTACGGTTTGTTTAGATGAATCGGTGGCGTGTGACGGTCCACCGCAATGTAGCAACGGAGCTGACGAAGCCTTCTGTGGTACGGACGTCACTATTATTCTTTCAATTCAAGGCCCCACAATGAATCCTTCACAGTTAAAATAATTACCTTGGAATGACTAGGACCGATGACGTTCCAGAGTCGTTAAATGGAGATAATTTAAATCTGAAAAGAAAATGAAATTTTTTCATGCTTCTTTATAACATAATTTTGAAACGATATAACCACAATTTGTCAACTACGGTACTGAATGTTGATTACTTTTGTTTGGTTTCTGACGTAGAACACTGTGGGGAGACATCAATCGACCTGTCACAGGGTGTCGTCTATACTCTCTCATCTCCCAAACATCCTAACGATTTTCCACATGAAATCCTTTGCCACTGGTTAATCAATGCTACCTCCATGTCTTCAATCCTGCTCTCATTCAACTCATTCAACTTGGAGGAGATTGACGATTTATTTTCGATTGGGATTGGTCATGATCCGACCAATGAAACCTCGACTGTATTCATGCGCAGAGGAAACGTCATACCGATCACCATGGCGATAAAATCAAATCAAGTATGGCTTGCGTTTAAGACAATGGGAAACCTGTATTATCGAAGTCTAATGCAGGTAAACCTTCAAGAATTTCAACCTCAAGGTAAATAAAGAGTCACAACACTTTCTATAATCACACAGGGCTGTGCGTACGAACAGCCCTACCAAGTGACAGCCCCAACCCAGAAAAAAAAGAAAACACTGGCTGTATTAAACTTGTCAAGTCGCTATTTACCTATTTATTTTTCTCTTGGGGATTTTCAATTATTTGAGCCCATTCTTCATTGTTAAGTCATATCGATTGTTTTGATAATTGCTTATAAATCTCCAGAGTGTGCTGATGGACTCACGGCATGTGCTTCAGGTTTGGAATGCATTCGGCAAACAGTCGTCTGCGACGGATTTCCTGATTGTTCTGACCAATCAGACGAGTTCCATTGTGGTAATGCGCATGCTTTTTACTGGTATTTTCTCATTAAAAATAGATTGTGCTATACATGTAGAGCCACTGAAGGTTACATCCCTCCTCCCCTGAATAATGATTGTGCTTGGGTGGCTCCTTAATTAACAAACTTGCCTGTTGTGTATGTTGAATGAAAGATTGTAAGATAGACCAGCCATTTATATAGTGTAATTCGGCGAACAGAGAAGAAGCCTCGGAGTATCCTCAACCAGGATTAGTGTATAAAAGAATGGGATTTAAGGCTTTATCTGCGCTAGTATAGCTTCTTATTTAGGTATATATTGCATCTTCATTTTCAGGAAAAAACAATTCTTTGCCCTGCAGCTCCCCGCAAATTTTTGCACAAAACCTGGTTGGAAAACCTAAGGTTATAATGGTGGCTCTGAAAAGTTATGTCTAAAATTTCAACAGGGAAAGCTTTCGCGGGGCATATAAAGACGGTTCTCCTCTCAAGAATCATTTTCTCACAGGAAAGGACATGATGGTTTATCCCCTGGACACTTTGGTGATTAAAAAACAACACGCACCCCCCCGGGTGCACCACGGTCTGCATTCATTACAGTCTGAGTCGAACAGGATGGAGAATAACGACATATGAAAACACAGCCATCGTACTATTAAAGTGACTGAAAACAACGTCTATGTAATAACGTGCTGTATATACCATTTAGTCGTGTATGTGACCAGCTGTCGATAATATGAATAGCCTTTTACTTTGAAAAGCAGTTTCCCTCTCACGTTGCGTGAAAACAGTTCCTGCCATTTCGAGTTTTTTCAACAGTTCCATGTGCTCCCTTCATTCTATAGAGACCTGTTCAGCCGTCACGGACACGTGTTCGTGTTTCCAGCAATCTTATGTCTGCAATGGGGAGAATGACTGTGATGACTATTATGACGAACTACGGTGTGGTAAGAAAGAAAACTGTGTGAAAAATACTACGAAACTAAAGTAGCATGAACAAATACCCTTTAACTTGAATAGGCTTCGGATTAACTAACACATTTTTCTTTAGACTAATCGGAAATTCAATTCTAGCCGGTTATTTCTTAGAAGTTTACAAAAGGTTCGTCATCATATTCTTTCGTGTATGAGAAATATGAACGTTTAGAAGATACTGAAATTTCCAGGATTCTCTGCATGCATAACGTTTGAAGACAATTAAACCACTCGTGTAACGTCACCTTTAAGATCAAAATTGACTCGGCGGACACAGATATTCTAGGTATAATGAGAAATGTTTATAATGAGAAACTGTCCAACCAGTTCGACGTTTTAACGGGTTGCTATTCTAACATTTTCTGTTTCATGTTCGGTGGCGATTACTAATAGTTTATTTAGAATAAAACGCTCCTTTAATTTTAATTATATGTTGTCGCTTTATGTATACCTCTTGATTTCTCGTCTTTCTTACTGTTTCATTAATATGGTAATTTTGAGATGTATTTTTGTTTACTATCTGTCTTTGTGTTCTTCTTCTTTAAATATACATTTCACCAATTTACATCCAATTTAACCTCAGTTTAACTCTTCCTCAATAAACCCTTTTCAGAAATAATGTATCGATTTTATTCATGTATAACCTTATAGTACAGATTAATCGTTTAAATCTTACCTATCAATACTTTCCAGATGATTTCCAAGTGCAAGTATTTTCCAAACGAAAGATTTCCCAACGGTGACCAAGGGATTTAAATGAGTAATAATCATCTAATTTGAAGAAGCAATAGTTCCCAAATTAACCGCTCGTAAACTTGCTTGTTAGTAGAGTAAAAGGTCACCACTCCGTACAGTCACACGATAAAATTTTGGTAACTTGATTCTAGCATTTATGCAGCTAACATAAATCCATTTGGACTTGTGAGGTGACGAAGACAATCCACCGATGGTGGCGACTGCATGTCTGTGTGTGACCTCATTATGCATGCACTGTACAAGTTAATACACAAAAGAGAGATGTGCACCCAGCCGAAGAGTTGCAACGGCTTTGTCATTGACACAGCTTGCCATGTGGAAAATGAATCAAAATCATCTCACGGAAATCCCCTTCTTATTCTCCTATACAACGATCAATAGTGAAGGGAGGGATGTGGATAGGTCACAGAAATTCGTGTCCGATCCCAGTCAAATCAAAGACTCTCCACTTTTCGCTCCTCAATTAATTTTTAGCCATAATGTTGTATACCATGAATTGACCAAAAAAATTATAAAATGTATTGTGGACAAGTATCTCACTGTTAAACCTGTTGTCTTTGTCACAGCTACTTGTGGTAATCCGTTCATTAATCTCACCGATGGTACTTCATTAAACTTTACCTCACCCAACTACCCCTCCGTGTACCCTCGAGAGGTTTCTTGCCTCTGGCTTGTTACCGCCAAACCCGACCATCGTATCCTCGTCATCTTCATTGATTTCAAACTCAACGTGGAAACACTGTCGCTTGGCAACGGACACCACCCTAGTAACACATCCAGTTTGATTATGCAACGTGCTGGAGCAACGACTCCAAGCATGATCACCAGTGAGGGTTCGAAGATGTGGATAACGTTTGAAACCTGGAAAAAGAAAAGTCTCTATCGAGGATTCGTACTGGAACTTTCACAATTTGTGACAGGTACTTGTCAATACATCTTGCTGACGTGACATTCTGCAGGCTTTGTTTCCTTTAGACCAGACGTATAAATCCTCAAAAGTTTTAACTCATATCTTGTAATTCGAGTTTAATTATTAATCTTCCAAAATCCCTCGGTGCAAAGTTATCACTTCCATTGCTTGTTCCTCCACTTTCATTTTCTTGTTTGTCAATGCAGTGGAATGTAACATTGGGGAGTTCATCTGTGAGTCTGGTCATCAGTGTGTTATGGACTCTGCTCGATGTAATGGTGTCGTGGATTGCTGGGATTTCTCAGACGAAACTGGTTGCGGTGAGCGCAATGAAGCTTGGAATATTTGTCTGTTTCTTAAAATTTTTCAAAAATTTAATTTTAAAAAGGCCCGATTGGGACTTCTTAATGTTAGTCTAGTCTCCTTTCCCTCCGCATCTCACTATAATTTTTTACTTTTGTAGCCTCGTGTGATATCGACAGTCTGCCTTGTATGAATGGCTTATGCGTGGAGCATGACGGGATATGTGACGGTTACGCAGACTGTAGAGACTATACCGACGAAATTAAGTGCGGTAAGTGTCGTGGTTCTAACAGGAATACGGAAGGAGAAATCAAAAACCGACCAACACTGACACCAATTAAAAAAAAAATGTTTTAAAAACTCTATCAAATTTTTCTTTATTCACAGGAACGCTTTGTGGCGAACGCTATGTTTTTCTCACAGCAGAGCAACCGATATACCGACTGACTAGCCCTGATCTCCTTTCAGTTGATGTGCAATACCCACCAGGATACTCCTGCTTGTGGATCCTATCGACTGATCCACAACTACAGATAGCTCTGAAAGTTGTGGACATCAGCTTGAGAGGACGAGGTAAGGATGCTATCCAAATTGGAAATGGTCAAGATCCTACTGATTTGACTACTACTATTGCTATCTTGGAAGGTAAAGACGACAAAGTGCTACGAGGAAGGAGTTTCATCTCTTCAGAATCAAACATATGGGTGGCATTGGTGGCAGAATCGAAAGATATCAAGTATGCTCGTTGGGGAATATTCCACTTGGAGATAACCCGACACAACATATCAGGTATGACCACACCTGTTTATGTTTATTTGTCAGACCAAAAATGATCCATGGCGCTTGAAAACTCTGAAAGTCATAAAACAAAGTAACCAGTGTATTGTCGGAACCTAAATTTACCCTTTGAGAACCTCATAACAACCTGCATTTCCCTGTTTAGGCTTTGACCCTAAAGCCTTGAGGCTTGGGTCAAGGGTTATCTGTCAAGTCCAAAGCCAGGATCCTTACAGTAAATAATGAACGGTACTTATAAAGCATGTCATATTATAACAAATTGCTCGTAGTAAACAGAACGTGTTGTATCGTTGCTGGTTTTCAGAATAGTATCATGTCAAATTTACCTGGAAGTCAAAAACTCGACAGGCCTTGAAGAGCCTCTCCCTATTAAAAAGTGCAAGGCATTGATTCTTCAAAGCCAAGGCTAAGGATTTTGTTCTCAAGTCTTGGGATATATATATGGCCAAGGCCCTAGAAATCAAGCCCTTAGGCAGCCTTAACACCAAGGCCAGCATCAAGGCAGTACATCGCTGATTTAATGATATGACTCTGTTCCTTTCCATGTCATTGCATTGCTATTAACAAACTGATTAATAATGATGGAAGCCATTCGTCGCTTCGTGAAGTCGATAAATTTTATTTAATACCCCCATATTTAAGGTGAATGTGTTAATGGATCTTGGTGTCTTCATGAACCAATTTGCGTGCCGGACTCAGCCCACTGTGATGGAATTTCGAACTGTGGTGATTACAGTGATGAACAACATTGCGGTAAATCTTACTATCATTACCCTTAATCACTACATTCAATCAGTAGCTTTGCAGCATACCGCTAACGATGTGTATTTTTTCATTAATTCTTTCTTTTCATCATTCGTCTTTTATTTTGCCGTCAAACTTTTGGCACGTTTGTTGGACATTGTTTATATGGTTCTCTACTATTAGCAGGAAAATCAATTTAGAAATAATGGATTAATTTGTCGCTCCGATTTGGTAAAACCAATCGTATGTTGAAACACGGGTTTCCATGGCAACAAATGTACATAATTCCAATAAAAACCCTGGACACTGAATAAATAACATTATTAAATCATTCCCAATACCCTGATATTACTGAATGTGTGTGTATTTTTATGACTAGATCACTGCGGAGCGGACATGAAAGATGGTATAAATGTCACAGACGGCACGCCATATCTGTTAACAGCTCGTTTGACCAATCAAATATCAGAGTTTCCTCTCGGCAAGGACTGTCTTTGGATCATCACCGCTTTCACTGGTTATCGTATCCAGCTCAGATTCCTTTATTTAATACTCATCTCCGATTCCTATTATTTTAATGGAATCCTGGTTGGTGACGGCACCAATCCAACGAATCAATCTAGCTTGTTCTTCAAACATACCGGCAAGACTGTTCGCGAAATCGTAACATCATTCAGCTCAGAAATCTGGATTGTGGTAGAGACATATCGATTACAGTTTGAGGAAGGATTTTCCGTTCAGCTGACCCAGTATAATGAAACAGGTGGGTAATGCACCTGTTCATAAAGACAAAACAGTTTAAAGTTTGGATCACGGTATAAACACACATTGAGTGGTACAGTTTCAGATGGACACTCTCCTGACAAACAACTGCATACTACTATAATGATGACAGTGAAGGTTCGAGTTTGTCGTCCATTTTTGGAACAGTTTGCCAAACCGTTAAATATTCAGCCCCTTATATCAAAAAGATCTCTCATGTCTAATTTTAGTGCCTGTATCGTGAACACAAAATTAGTTTTCCTGAGCTCGCAATACAATTACCTTTAATAAACTTTAAAATGAATCCAAAGTCAAACCGATAAAATGACACACAGAGTATACATTACACAAAATGTCAGCAAAAAAAGAAGATAACATATTTATAACTGAGAAATTAACGTTTTTGTGACTGTCGTGAGAGGTATATTATAAACAATTAGTGTCTTTTGCCATTATCCCAATATACAGAATGTTCACCTGATCAGTATGCCTGTCCGTCCGGCTTGTTGTGTATTGAGTTATCTCAGCGATGTGACGGGACACCAGACTGCCCAGACGCAGGCGATGAATTTGGATGTGGTATATGGACACTGAACTAAGAAATAGTTTATACTTGGATGATATTTTGGGTTAATTAATGACCAGATAAAACAGCAATCTTCTCAGTGTCACGCTTAAATTAAGTTCTCAGAAACATCAGTGATCAAATCGCACCTCTCAAATTTTACCGAGTGATTGTTTTACAGTATATCAGTTGTGATTTATACCGTTTATAACAGAACTACTGTGATTTAATTTAGTAATGTTAATAAAATCTAAACCATTCCGAACAAAAACTAAACTGTCATTTTCGACTCTTCAGCTGACTGCTTATCGGATCAGCTGTACTGTGATGCAGGCAGGTGTGTAGATTTGGATAGTATCTGTGATCGGAGAGAAAACTGTCAGGATAAACTGGATGAAAGAATTTGCGGTAAGTTAAGAAAAAAGCAACGAAGCAAATAAAATTCATCGCAAGTATATGCTGATTAGGGCCTGAACCGTCGACTAATTATTCAGGTCAAGTTTTTACGTCAGTCATCTTTTTTTTTCAATCAGCTCCATGTGGTGAAAGCATCATCAATCTACCAAGTGACCTCAATTTGCCAATGATTTTCTCCTCTCCATCTTACTCCATCGCTGACTATCCGTCTGATATGAATTGTATCTGGCTCCTAACTGGCAAGCATGGCTATGTTATTCAGTTGGAGTTTGTTGACTTCAAGACTGAGGTTTACTTTGATAAATTCAGTGCGGGCAATGGTCATAATTACACAAATATCTCATCGGTAATCTTGAATGGGATAAGTGGGGAAGAAGCGCCGAGGATTCTCCTGGCTGATGAAAGTCGGATGTGGATTAGATTTGCGGCTGATCAAAGGGTCACGGATCGAGGATTTCAACTGTTAATTACGCAGGTCAATGGAACAGGTACACATACATTTATTTTTTCTTGTTCACAATGATCCCTTACAATAGTTCGTCTAAAGTCTGCAGAACGACAAAAAAGGGGTTGATCGATGGACAAACATTCTTATTTGACTCCATGTTGGAACTAAGCGTCTGAGGAACAGGCCATTGCAAATTTCACCAAAGTAAAAAGACAGATAAATAACTTGAAACGTCTATTAATTTTCAATGAACTCTGACGGTGTCAGCCTAGCGGAAATAATGTCACTGTTTAATTTCCTATTTCAGTTGAATGCAGAGAGGCGGAGACAAGCTGCCAGTCTGGTTCAGGCTTCATGTGCTTACGTCACGACTCGAAGTGTAATGGGATCGCCTTATGCCCTGATGAATCTGATGAACAAGCTTGTGGTAAGCTGATCAATTTATCATACGTATGCCAAATACAGGAGTGTATGAAGATTACAATGACCATCAGCAATTGACCAGAACGTACAGACCTAAATACCAAAATGTTTCTGTCCAAAGTCTTAAATCAAGGTGCCTTAATGGCTTCATAGAAACACTCTAAATGTAAAGCCACCTTAATTCTATGGGTACTGGACATAGAGTGGATAGGCGTATGCAAGTAAACTGTCGTATCTGATTACTTGCACGCACATCATGATCGATGTACTAGACACTGTACTGAAATATCTTTACGCATTCACGGCTAATTTGGCTCAGTAATTGCAAACCCAACTGCATACACAACAGTCACCAATGGCAACAGTCCCCATAGCAATTTATCAGTCATTTCAATTTCTTTGTCGATTAATTTCTCTTTAGCTTTCTTTTGCCTTAATTTCATAATGCAATTTTGGACCCCTCCCGAAAAATCATCTGAATATATAATTTGCATCTGGCAGTGTTTCTTTCAAGTCTGCAAAATGTACTTTACATTAAGAAATCCATCAATACCGTTTAAAGTTTAAATACACCACCATAATTGTAGGAGTAACATCACAGGGAAGGAACTCAGGATGATTGCCAGAGTAACCAATACATGTCCCCAGTAATGAACAATCTACAACTCAACAAACATTACAAACCAAATAAAATAGATTTCAAAGTAAACAAAACACCTTCTACTAGTTGGGAACGTTTTTCTGTTATTGCTAACAGCTCCTGCTTAAAAGTAAACATTTTGTCTCGTGCACGAGTAGAAAGCGACTTAATGTGGAACACGAAGACAGATTTGCCAAACGTCAGTAATGTTGACTCTGTGAAGAAAGCTACAGAAACCGGAAAATGTCATCGTCAATCAAACTAGTGTCAAGGGAACTTCTGAATTCCTGACATCGCACGAAAGTTAGGATCACTGTTTGACAAAACATCCAGACATTGTCACACACGATAAGTGTTCCAATTTAAACAAAAACGCGATTGAAATGGCTTGCAGGTAAATATAATCAGTAATTATTTTTGGCTACGTCCACTGCCATAACCACTTTCCAAAAATGACCAATAATTTAGGTCTTTACAAAATACAAGATCGACTGACGAACTGAAAGACGGGCAAAAGTAACGAAGCCGAGTACTGTAATCGCAGTCATACAGATATATGTATGACGAATGAGAAGGAAAAAAGAGGACTTTATTTTCTCTTTGAGTGTGATGAGACTATGTTATATAACAAAATATTAAATTGGCACTTCTATTCTAAATTCAATTGGCTTTCCATTTCACAGGAATCTGTGGTTCGACCATCATCTACTTGTTTGATACCGATACTCACAATCTGACCTCCCCTGGTTTCCCTTCTCAATACCCGCCTAATCAACCGTGTAGTTGGCGCATCCAAACTAGTGATAAACCTGCTACTGAGGACTCCAATGCCTGGAGACTCATGGCTTCCATACAGACATTCGACTTGGAGAATCAGTACGACTATCTAACGCTGTACAACTGGGACGACGAGAACGGTGACACAGGTTTGATCGCCAGGTTAACTGGAAACATCAAGTTGACGACAGTGGTGTCAGCTGGACATGCAATGTTTATCAAGTTCACAAGCGACAACACGGGCTCGGGGAAAGGGTTTAAGATTCACCTCCAAACTGTTAATAAAACAAGTAAGAAACCTGACCCGGTCACATGAACAATAATTGATTGACAAGACATTTGAGAGTCACCAAGGCTACATAGCAAACCCTTTGAAATTGGGTAAATTACATGTACTTGCATGAATGGAAAGGAAATATGCTATTTAAAGCACAAGTCAGTTTAGAAATGAACAACTTCGTTTTCCAATTTCAGCAGAACTTGAAAACTTTGACTTTCGTCATTTTGGGGGCATTTCCATTTTGCCAGGCAAGTTCTGCACCGGTTCTGACTACGACTGCAAAGGAGATGAATTCTGTGTGAGCGAAGACGCCAAATGTAATGGCTTCAACGATTGTCTAAGATATCAAGACGAAATGAACTGCGGTAAGCATAATAAAATCTAAATCCTGAAAACATGCACAAGAAATAAAGACAGAGAAAGACATAAAAAGACGGACTCGACAAGACTGGACAGGACAGAAGATGAAAACTTAGTGATATCAATAGACGGAGGTAGTCATTATCGCCTAAAATATGAATTCCATGCTGAACAATCAGCTTGTGGGTTGGATGGGCCTGTTTAGGCGTGATAATGTGTCAGATCGATCTGATGGAGGCCTATGCAATCCCACAGCTCCAGGCGAAAATTCGAATCCGATTCGCATCCCGCAGCCATGGTTCAATCCAAGTCCAATTGGATCCGACAGGAAGTACCGCCAACTCGCCAAGTGCCTTTCTCATATGCAATCAATTTAGTTTCTCTTAGCCGATATCCAATATAGCCATTTTTGCTCATGGGTAATAAGTACCTTTACAAAGATGATAAAAAATACGCAGAACAGATGATGTCAACTGGGGACACTTAGATTACTGTACTTCCTGAAAACCTAGAAAATATTCAGCACGAAACGTTGATGCTGCCACATTTAACAATTTACTTATAGCGAAGGCAAACGCCGAAAAAGTCGAATTTTTTTCGGATTACGAGAATGACCAATCCGATCCGATCTTGGACTCACATGGGATCGGATTTAGATCAGAAGCGGTGCATATCTTTAAGGAAAACAGACTCAGCAACGCCCCAGAGTTTGTTGTGTGGAGGCGACTCGGACACCCCCCCCCCAAAAAAAACCCTTACGATGTTAAAGCCCCCCCTGTACGACTATATCGGAGATAGCAGTTTTAAGACGTAGGTGCATCTTCGTTTATCAGAGAGTAAAACAAAAATAACAACCGGGGGTCAAGCCCCCCCGCCACCCCCCCCATTAGATGCAAACTACCTAATTTCGTACGTTCTAGATCTTTTTATCTACCGTAAACCAGCGTTTAAAATGAATAATTTTGCTCAAGCTTCTGATGATTGTAGATGTGTATATCTTGTGTTCGTTTTCAGGTGAAGTCAAGTGTCCAGACAACTACATGTGTAACAATGATATTATCAACGATGAGGATTTGGTCAACTTTCAATGCATCACGCTTGATATGGTGTGTGATGGAAGAACCGATTGCCCAGAACGTGACGACGAAATGCAATGTGGTATTTCTTTTCATTATTATATTGATTTTATCATTCGTTCGCTTCTTCAAAGGTGTGAGTGGCCACATCTACACACACAAAAATTACGAAAACTGCGAACAAAAAGCTGAAATTCAAAAGTTCTCACAATGATTGTGTACAGAACAGGTGTAGAAAGAGTACAAATATAAACAAACAAGCTGCAATATGTTAGCAGAAAATCTGAGGTCTAAAACCCCTGTTCTTATTGATAATTAGTAGCACGTGACAATGATGAAGAAGCACTGACTGACAGCCTCAATCAATCCTGTCGTTAATCCAGCAAAACTAAATTAAACCATCGTGTATCAACTTTCGGATGCACTAGCTGGAACTCCCTCACATTATTACACGAAACTGGCGATACATCTGTTGCCATAGTTGTGAAAAATGTCGATATTAAATCGGCTAGGCGGTGAAGCACACTGAAAAGCAACAGCTACAGAAAGCTTCTGAGGAAATTAAAGTTGGTATTTTTATGCTGTTGCCTGTGCAGACAAAAAGAAATGTCCAAGTGGCTGCAAGTGTTACTATGACAAGAACGGGTTGACCATCAAGTGCCTCGGCTCCTGGGAACAAAGCACAGTAGATTATATATCCAAGACAGTTGCTACCCTGTGAGTTTTCAGTCAGTTATACATGTTATGCATTGGGCAATGTCCATCGAAGTGTTTCAGTAGAAACGGAAAGTTTTCCTGTGACCAGGAAAATTTTAATACACCTGAGTAGTTTTCATTTCGAGGAGAATTCTGCATTATTTAGCACTTTTATTGGATAGCGCTTTCCTAGATGAACAGAGGTACCATATTACAGATGTGACTTCCTAAAACCCAAAAACCAAAGATTAAAATAATACTAACATGACAACAGTTAAGTAGAAATTGCTACGTTTTCGCGTACAGCTCCCCCCTTAAAAACAAAAATCATAGAAGAAAAAGTAAACGAACTGCGAGCACAGAATTCCCAACTGAAACTAAATGGGAGAATCTCACCCTATGATAATTCAGCTTAGACACCAGAGATCCTCCATGGTTTTAACGAGGGGGTATTGGGGCGCAGAAACAAGCAACATATAGGGCCTACAACCAAAATATGAACAAAGACGAATTAATAGGTTAACAGTTGCTTGACATCATCATGTAATCCTTACAGTAATTATTTTCTTGGCTAATATTTATGTAGGAGTCTGAATGAAGGGAATGTGACTGTATTAAAGAAAGGAACATTCAAAGGAATGAAATCACTTCGCTCATTGTAAGTAAATCAAAATGTTCACTTTTTCGTTATAAACCTTTAAAGAAGTTTTTCAGAGCTTTTTGTTTTTTTATCTGAACCTTATGTACATGGATTGAACAAGAGTAAATCATTATTTTTATCTAGATGACACAACCTGACCACACATTGATGATACTTTGCATTACTTTGCAGATCTTTGAGTGACAACAATATTGTGAGCATTGAGACCCGCACATTTGATGGTCTGGATAATTTGACATGGTTGTAAGTTCAACCTTACTGAACCTCATGACCATTTTAAATCAAAGAATTTACAGCAGAAATATCTGAGTGGAACTATAATTTTATTAACGTTTGCTTTATTTGATTGACAAATTACATCTGAAGGACAGTAATCTGACATCTGAGAAATCTGAGAAATGGTAATATTACAAGTAAATAATGAAATACTCTATGGTATTCCTCAGAGAACTTTCAAATAACCATATCACAGAGCTGGAAAGCTACTCCTTTCAAGAACTCAGCTCACTGGAAGGATTGTAAGTTCATGGTTTCTCAATTTCCTTGTATCTCACTGGTAGCCTCTATTACTTAGATTCCATGTCTAGCAGGCCTTAACAGTCGAGGTTGGCACCCAAATGTAATTTTCTTCCACAGAACTCTTTGGAATGTGCCACTTAGGTTGGTCAAGGATTACGCATTCACTGGACTGGAAAAGCTCCAAAAACTGTGAGTTTAATATAATTGCACTTGGCAACTACACTGTGATATGAAGGCACATGTTTTAAGACCTTTGTTGAACCTGGTTCGAATCTCACAAGTACAAAATGGTTTATCAGTACCTGTTCCATCGTGCAGGTTTTTCCTAATGATAAACTTTCTGTGGTGAACCCCCTTGTGAATCAAACTATTGCACTTGGTGCATTACAGCCTTGCAAGCCAAGGTTCAGTTTGTAGATGTTCCTGGATGGGCAACCTACAACTAGTACTAACTTGTGAAATAAACCCATTCTCTCTTAGTGCAATCATCCGTGGCATTGTAGATGATCCGATGAAGGTAACATCAAAAGGCTTTGATGGCTTGCCAAACCTGAAAACACTGTAAGTCTGGCAGTCTCTGTAAGCCATCATACACAGATGTACATGTCAATAAATTCAAATTTGATCAGTGTCATGATACACATGTACCACTAAACCAATCAATGAATGTTAGTTTACCAAAGTTGTATCAGTGTAATTCTCCTATGTTCATGCTTTCTTATGAATATAAAAAACGTCTCATGAAGTTTCATTAGATATAAAAATGCTCTGAGAATGCCACTTGTGTACTCACTTCTTCACAATGTAATCAGGCTTATAAATAAATACCACCAAAGAACCCATTGCAACATAAATAGCCATCCACCTTTGAAAAAAATCAAACAGTTACAGAAGACCTTGTCTAATATGTCCTTGTCCAATATGAGGCTGAAGCAGTTTTCTAAGAAGTACCTGTGTCACTTTTCATGGAAATTCTGATTTTGGTTTCCAAGTATGGAAATCATTTACCAATCTGTTCATTCCTCTGTTATTTGATGATTCAGGTACGTTGACGATCATCGCCTGTGTTGCCACTTTCCTTATGTTACCTGCACCTCCTTAGAGCCACGCCCCCCTCTCTTCATGTGTAGTAACCTCATGCCCAATGTCGCACTACGTATCTTCATGTGGATCCTTGGTATCAGCGCCCTCATTGGTAACTTGGGAATCATAATTTGGCGATATCGAGAGAAAAACAGCAAAGCAAGTCGACAGGTCCATTCCTTTTTGGTTTTTAACTTGGCAGTATCAGATTTCTTCATGGGTGTGTACATGTTGATCATAGCTGGTGCCGATGTGCATTATGGTGACGAGTATTTCATGAAAGCAAGTGAGTGGCGATCCACGGTAGTGTGTAAGATAGCAAGTGCATTGAGCATCTTATCCAGTGAGGCATCAGTCTTCATCATCACCGTGATCACTATTGATAGGTTTCTGTGTATTGTCTTCCCATTTACTCAGTTCCATCTCAGACGTCATTCCTCCCGTATCACTATGTTCATCATATGGTGTCTTGCCCTTTCAGTTAGTCTCATCCCAACACTTCTTGCTGATCAGGAATCTAATGTCTATGGACTGTCCGATGTTTGTATTGGCCTTCCACTGCAGACCAGAGCAACCGACTTTGGAAGCACCACTGATGATATCGAGAGTCCATTCTCTAATGAGACATTTGAAATTCCAGTTGCTCTGAACTATCAACCTTCTTGGGTATTTTCCATTGTTCTGTTCCTTGGTGTCAACTTTCTTTGTTTCTTAGTTATCATGATTTGTTACATTGTCATTTTCATCCATGTTCAGTTGTCTCTGAAGCAGGTCAATCGTCACATGCATCGATATGAAGAAATCAAGATGGCAGGCAAGATGGCAATAATAGTCGGGACTGATCTCTTTTGCTGGTTGCCGATCATTATCATGGGTATCTTAGCACAGTCTGGTGCAGTCACTATTCCTGTTGAGACATACGCTTGGATTGTGGTTTTCATTCTCCCTATTAATTCATCTCTCAATCCATATCTTTACACTGTATCATCATGCATTGCTGACCGTAAACGAGAAAACGTGTCCACAGCAACAACAAAACGCATAGGAACATTGGCAATGACAGACCGAGTAAACAATGGTAGAAGTGTTCACTCACAGGAAATCAGTGTTGTGGATTAAATTAAATTTGTACAAACATAAAAATGAATCTAAAGGAAACAATTATCTATTTACAACTTGCTTGTACAATTTCTCACTTCATTACTTGAATAAAATGGGGTTTAAAGACCTGGTTGAACAATTGAAAGAAAAAATTACCTGCTCATCAAAAATTCAAAATGACTTTTGCCATGTAAAAGGCATTTTATAGAAATCTAAATAAATCTAAGTAAATTGTTCACAGCTGTAAATGTTGGCATGATTGTAAATGTAGCCATGGACATGAAGGTATTTCTATTAATGCAAAAAACAAAGCAAAAGTACACTAATTTGACTGCATTTTGCCCACTTTAGGCTTAAGGCACAAACGAGGAAAAAAGTGATGTGAGTACACGTTATGTAGAATGGAGTGCAACAAAGCGGTTGACTTTAGCTGATGGGTCATCAGCTCTAACCTTCCCCTGTCTGGTGTAATTGTGTAGAAATGTTGGCAGAGGAAAAATGTCCACATCTTCACTGCTACGTCGGTCCCAAAAAATATCATATCTCATGCCATGCTTACGAAGACGCATCAAATAATCCGAATGGTATTTACCATCCGTGTAGTCAAGGAAACGACGGTAATCTTGTTGGATTGCCTGCACGGGGATTAAAAATTAAAATATTGTACTTTATATTATGATACCTATACTTTATAGTCATAGTGTAATGATCTGTCAAAATATGGGAAATAATAAAATCAAAAATATGTAAATGTTTAAGTACAAAATATTAAATTTTGATCTAAATTTTGATGTCCAAATGAAACACATTTTAACAAAACAGAAAAACTGAATTCCTGTTAAACTTAATTTAAATGTAATTATTTCATGACTGTACTAAATTTGGTTGTAACTTGTAAATGTGAGTGCAGTGAATTCCATTGTCTTCATGAGTAACTTCACTGTGTTACCTAGTGTTCGTGGGAAAATGAATAATTTATTTGCAACATCTTTCAGAAATACATTAGAGTAGCTTTTTAATAGTGGGATAAAAAAGACATGAAGATGCTGGCAATGGATTCAAAAAAACTCCAGCTAGAAGATGTGAATAAAATGAAATAGCAGTTTTGTCAGGAACAAGAACGGTTTACCTTGAAATCATTTTGTACCATCTCTCTTGCTTCAATCTCATCACGAATTTGCCGCTGTAAGTCTTCAATTCTAAAAAACAAGAGTCAGTGATGAACAATAGAATAGGGGTTATTTTTGCCCTTATCAAAGAAAATGTTTCAGAGATATGAAGAAAGCTGACAACTTTCTTTCCAAGTTTTACAGGCATTGAAAATGACTTAAAACAGGAAGACTATTTCCAAGGGCCTTTATAAATCTTAGCAGCACTCGACTAAAATGACTCTCTCCTCAGAACTCTTTCTTCTTGTTACGTCAGTACATTTTTTTTTTTCATTTACACAACACCCTTGGTGAGTGAAGAATACATGTACATACTTACATGTGTTCAAGTCTCAAAACTTCTTCTCGATGCAACTTTGCCACCCTGGCTGCTTCTTCTGCTGCTTTTCGTTCACATTCTTCTTTGGTGGTTTTGATCGCTTCCTCTAATCTTTTCTTAAATTTCTCCTGTAATAAAGAGACAACAGATACAGAAGAGACAATTTAGGATGGAGGACAGAGGATGCAAGCAAATGTTGCAGCAAAATGAGGACAAAACTTTTTTTCAAACATATAACACAGCAAATTTTACTTCAGAATAAACTCATCCCTCACCCTTGCAACAGATAGGGCTTTGGCAATAGCTAGCTCCTTCTCAAGTGCAAACTCCTTCCGTAACCTTTTTGTTGTTGCAGCGATTGCATCTTCAACAGCCTTTTTCTTGATGCGTTCGCATTCCTCCCATTGTTTCTGTAATGCTTCTTCTTTTTCAATTTTGAAGGCCCACGTAAGCTTTTCAATTCTCTCTGCCTCTAGCTGGTCCCTTGCCTCAGCAACACGAGCAGCTGTTTGTTTTGCTTCCTGAAAGAAAGTAGAAAAATGTTGAACTAGGCAACCCCCTAACTGTAAAAATGCCCCCCCAAGGCAAAGTCTTAAATAAACATGACAAGCTTTTTCCTACTCTACTTACTACCTGCAAATAAAAACACTTGTGGTGATGATTCACATTTTCTTCAATAGTTCTTTGAAATTCTTTGAATGCTCTTCAATTTTCCAAAGTCATCTAAAGCATGAGTTCCCTATTTTCCCAATTCAATTAGAAATACAAAAAACTCTTGATGAGGTAACTCATCATTCTTACCAGTCTAGCTTCCTTAAGTGCTTGCTGCTTATCAGCTTCAGCTTTCTTGTAAGCATCATGCAGACATTTCTTGAGTCTTCTTTCAGCTGCTTCCTGTGTTTCTCTTACTGCACTATTGACAGAATCTTCTCTTTCTTTCCGAGTGAAGTCCAGAAAATCATGATACACCTTACCACCAACATCTACAAAACAGCAACATTTCACTGATAATTAACTTGGAACTACATCAAGATTCTTTAAGGATGGCAGGGATGGCTAATTCCCATGGGATTACATGTACATAAGTATTCCATTGAACTCTGTTCTGTGGTTCTATGGGCTAACCCAAGTCTACTAGGGCTGTGCCGAATATACAAATAACCGAATATTCGATCGATTGTCAAATATTCAAATATTATTTGTCGAATTTGAATATTCAAATGCAAAATTCATGGAAAGTATGGGAAAATTTTCTTTTGTTTTAAATTAGAAAAATAGCGCTATGGGGGCTTGTTTCAAGCAAATTCCAATGAAAAGCGTCAGAAACCCTACAGTTTAAAAAGTAAATTATTCATTAAACAATTTAAAGGAATGGAAATTTTCGACAGGGCTATACGTCTTGTTCCTCTCTTAAATCATGATAAATCGTGGCTGGAGATACTCCATTAATGTGAGAAGCTAATACATGTGTGTGTTATTGCAACTGATTTTGTACGTGGTTTGTTCAACAATCTGCCAGTTGGTACGACCCAATATTCGGATATTCTATCAAATTGAAGGTCGAATATTCAAATAGTGAATTATTCAAATTGACTCAGCCCTTAAGTCTACTTCAATTCTCAAAACAAACTGGGCAAATTTTTCAAGAGCATCGGAAAATTGATGTGGAATGCAATAATGCATTTCTTTTTTGAAGGGAATAGATTTGAATGACTGAGGACATACATCTGAAAGCCCAAGGGGTTGTAAATTGAAGAGTGAAATAATCAAGAACAAACAAGACAAACCGTCAACATTATTGTGTCCAACTCTCTGGGTTGTGAGTGTTGTTCGTTGGAGTATTCTCTCGATCAGCTCAAGACTGTCTGGAATTTTTCTCACAGGTTTTCTTGACATGTTGACAGTGATAAACATGACATGTCTGTCTCTTGGGAAGTATTGCACTGTTGGTAAGTTGCTCTCGTTTAAAAGAAAAACAAAAGTGCATAAGCTGCAATAATCATACATGCAATGATAACATGCAATGAGAACTTACTGCACTCAACTCGCACGACCCCCCATCATTTGAGCTATATATACAATCACGCGTTTGCTGACACCTGTTCCCCCCACCCCAATCATGCCGAAGTCATGACAACCCTCTATGAACGTGAATGAGGAAACAGCAACTGAATTAACTAAGGCCAATCCCCCTAGTTTACACCATTACAAGTTGCACGTCCGTGTCCCCTCGTAATAACGAGAATAACTAATATGCATTATTTGGACTCAAGTAAGAAAAGGTACTGAGAAAACACTACACATGACATGTTTAAGATTCTCACCTCCTTAACTTGAGATGCAAACTGGTGAAATTCAGTTTACGATCACCATGTCGACACGTCAACTAAAGTCAAGGTAAGCGCATGCTAACATGACGTTTAACTACGCCCTCTAGTGGTAGCAGCGACTCTCCATCCGCTGCTGGTACCCATGTACCAGTCATGCAGAATGACATGTTATCATAAGTGAGGAAACCAGCCAATATGTATACGATCGTACGGTGTACTAATGACTTGTACATCCACTTAAGCTTGATGCCTACGAAAAATCAACTGGATTTTGCAGGTTTTTCCCCATACCTCCATGGCGTCGTCACTTGTCGACGACAGTTTTCCCGTAGCTGGGTTGCTACCAAAGAAGGAGACAGGAGCTTTGACATTTCTGTCCAAATACCCAGATTTTGATGGAAGGGGAGTTACAATTGCCATACTCGATACGGGCGTCGACCCAGGAGCACCAGGTTTACAGGTAAAAAGACGGAAGACTGCCTGTCCATTCATCGAAAGGCAATCGAAACGATAGCAAATTAAGTTGGAAAGGAACGATCAGACGATGTGGGTTATCACTTGACTGTGCAGAAATGGACAAAATGTGACTGCCTGATCAGATGATCACTCAGGAAAGCTTGCTTATTTCTTTTCTTTTAAGTAAAATGGCTTTTTGTATTCCTTCAGCCAACTTTAGGCATGTCATTGTCAGGCGCAGTTAGCATAGTTAGGCTCAGTCCATGGAGATTCATGGAGGAAAATCCTAGGCCTACTGCAAAAATAACTTTTAAAGAGATGATGATCAACTTACCAATACATGTACATGTAGAACTGACTAGTGTTATGCAGTGGGCTTAAGTTATAGTGATGCTCCAAGTTATAGTTATATGCTCCAAAATAATTTTCCCAATTTGAGAAAAAGCATGCTTGCACAAACCCTCGAAATCTGTCACCATACTCTGCACATGCACAGATCACATCACGCACAGTAAAACGAATTACACACACCATCCAGAACTAGGAAAAATGTATTCCTTCTATGCCCTGTACCTGTTGCACCGTTTGCACGGTCGAGTTGGTCGAGAGTCGAGTTGGTCGGGAGTCAAGTTGATCTTTACGGTTGAAGGAACAACGGTCGAGTTGGTCAACAGTCAAGTTGGTCTAGAGTCAAGTTGACTTGAGTCGAGTTGGCAATCGGTCGAGTTGACCAGACACCTTATTCCCCACAGTGACAAGTAGTAGGTTACTAACCATCAGAAAACTAAAGCATGTCCAGAAAAGTTCAATTTAGGGGGAAAATATCAAGTCGTTTACTGAAAAAACACATAGAACTTTTTAGACCAGTTTCATAGGTTTGTGCACAGGATGTCAAGTGGCGTCCATATATCATGTACATGTATATGGAACTCTTTTCCAGGAAAAGTTCCACCCTGGCAACAATTGTACAGTTTGACCAACATCACCCAAAAGAGGGATATTTAAAACCATCTATATCATTTGAAACTAGGCACCAAGGCTTGGTCACTCCATCAGCTACCAATTGCCGAGCTCATTAATCACTACAGAAGGAACCAATCACATGAAAATAATTGTCCCAGATGTCACTGACCATTACGTCAAAGAGTTGAAGCCAACACCATCAGCCAAATGTTAAGGATGGTGCACATTGTCATTGTTTAAGAGTGACTTGTGGTCCATTTGTGGTTAACGCCCAATTTGCTCACAGATCCATCATTAATTCTCACAATAGCACTTTAAACATGGTATTTAAAATTTTATAACACCACAGTCCACATTCACATAAAACACATCAGCGTGCAGGTGTCATGCAGCTACTCCCTCTCAAATGTATGCCCTTACTTGAGATGGAGCAAACTGGTACCGAGCTTGTAAGGCCGGATGCTTTCCATCCTGCACATAAGGACTCGGCTATGTCTTGGTACCGGGTACGTACATGTATACCATGCAAGATGTATGGGGCTCTAGTTTTACCTTGAGTTTCTTGAGACGGCCAAATCCTGCCCTTGTGTAATTGTAATTTTAAGCCTCATACATGTTTGTACATATATAGTTTTATATTTGTACTTGGCATATTTGATTTGTATAGCAGGTGTAAACAAACTGGAGTACATGAATGACAAAGGTTTTATACCACGTTTGTGCATCCCGTTCTCCTGATTATGTTTCTTTGGCAGCCTGACTACAGGTACATGTACAGTACAGTCCATCATCATTCATGCTTTGCACTATGAATTTATATAGTACCATTTTGGATCACCATCGCAAATGCCTTCAGTGGCTTTATGTTTGTTCAGTCACCCTGCATTTCCAGAGCCATTCTAGTCCATCAATGGGCCAGGACAATACTAACTAATGCTAAATTCATTTTGTTAAATTGACAATTAACCTGGATTTTATGGTTATTTCCAGGCAGCTGCTTTCAATTACAAATAGTAAATACAGTATCTGGTTTAATTAAGAAAACAATACAACC